TTACCTCCCGAAAGAGACTCCGTCCTTTGGCGGAGTCTCGTTCGGGTTCCTCCCCACCTGAAGGCAGAGAGTTCAACCGATCAGCCGGTCAGTTAGTCACCCCACCCCCGAGGGCATCATGTGGCACAAGGCCGGTTTAACGTGGGATCTCCGAGCCCGTAGGCTCGGTTAAAAATATGTCCTTTGAACCCGTATAAACGGGTTCAGGGTCGGTTTACCTCCCCGAAAGAGACTCCGCCCTTCAGCGGAGTCTCGTTCGGGTTCCTCCCTGCCCGAAGGCAGAGAGTTTAACCGATCAGCCGGTCGCCCGACTTCAAACGGAACTCCCTGCTTCCTCTTGAGGCGCAGTATTTATTACGTATGGAATAGTCCATTATGTTATTATGGGTAAGGTCCCATAACAATATATATATATATATATATATATATATATATATATATATTGATCACTAATATTTCTATCTATCTATCTATCTATCTATCTATATATATATATATATATATATATATATATATATGCATGCACACAAATATAGAGATACATGCATGCATTCACAGACACACGTTATATAAGAATTTATAGTTACATACGAACACATATTTTTTTAAATATACATGCCACTCATATATAGGCTTGCTGAGTTCGTTGTCTTTTAATAACTGTGTTTTTCTAAGTTGGGTTGGTTATGATTTCTTTTCGGTAAAATACTGACAAGCGTCAAGCTAACTCAGTAAATAATAACACACACTGTAATCTCTGCCTTTTAGGCAGAGTATAATGATTTAGTGATTGCTCGTTTCCGCAAAGCTGCTACAACAATAAAAGTTCTAATAACACCTGATTAGTATGAAATGTATGATAGGTACAGCAGGCTATCGATAAGATCACCATAAAATCAACGCCATTTCTAAGAAACTCGACGTTTTAATGCACTCTACTGGAAGGATTTGGCATGATGATCTTCGAAACAAATCATATGTCATGCAGAAAGAGCGATTTATGTCTGTCCGATCCGCGCAGCGCGCTTGTTCAGCGAGTTGAAATATCAAGATCCTAGAATACATTTGTTTTTCACTGATGAGAAAAACTTTGGTCAGATCTACCAAAGGCATGGCAGATAGTTATGCAGAGATCACCTTGATGTTTCAACGGTCATGAACACAAAATTATCGGAAACTGTGATGGTTCTCGGAGTCATAAACAACGAGAAAGATGTTATTTCTCCTCACTTTCCTCCAGGTTTTAAGGCTCAATTCTGTCGACTATAAGCAGGCGTTGGTGAGATTTTGCGAAGCGTTGTATACAGAGTGTGAGCAAAAGAAGTCCGTACACCTACCAACAAGACACTGTGCCGTCTCGTAAGACCAAGATTACCCAAAAGTAGATGAATTACAAATCCACTATCACGTCAGCATAAATATTTAGATTTCGGTATTAAATAACCCATAGACGTTGATATGCCGCTAAAGAAATTCAACCAACCAAACAAACAAACCCTGGTGTCTTACGATATTTGACAGGTTGAGTTCACTATTTACATTATTCGGACTATTGTCCTTATATCTATCACGACGTTTCGGTCGTTGTACGCTCCGGTCTTCTTCAGGTGGTCGGAATGTCGAACTGAACCATTTATTTCGCTCACTGGGGTAGACTGTTCCAGTTCCATGGGCCATGTCTAATGCAGGTCAGTTATCAGTCATCTCCTGTTAATTCCCCTCCCCAAGTTCTCCACCGCCTCAATCAGGTATTGAACTCACATTCTTTGGGTCCTGTCACTGGGTCTAACTAACGCCTTTATCCGCTGTACCATGTGACCTTGAGTAGGATACATAAAAATAATGATTCAAAAATACGTTACATCGGTTATACAGCCAATATTACAGGGTTGAAGATGTTCTTTGAGAATACGTCTTTTTAAGTTTGTTTTTCTAACTGCTTATGATTATCATTCATGCACAGATGAATGACGACAAACATCAGCCCAAAAAATCACGCTGTAATACTTGCCTTATAAGCAGAGCATAGTGATTTATAGATTGCTCGTTCCCTGAAGGTTTCACGAACGTTTTTTGTCATAATTGGCGAAGAGGTGTAGGTCGCTGACGGGGATGCAACGAAGGTGGATTGAAAGGTTCGTAGGCTGACTAGGAAGGAGTGAGTCTAGAGACGTGAAATCTTGCATGCATTAATTTCTACTCTTCTTATTTATAACTGAATTCATTATTTCTAAATAACTTGGCCTCAGACTGTTCAACAATAATTGTACCCAACCATGTGTTTTTCATGTTGCGGAACAATTGATAATCAAATAAAGAAACCACGAAGAGTAAACAACCAGTTCAAAGCCACAGTAACGGCATTGAATTCAAGGACTTGTGTATTGGAGTATTGTGCTGATGAAACAAAATCTCTATTCCCAGTTTTCCTTGGCATTTGGTCTTGCTAGACTTTGGCAACTACCCCAAAAAGTTGGCATAGAACTATTCATTATTGTGTATCACATTTTCAATAAAAACGATGTATTTTTAACCCCCCCCCAAACGCAGATAAAACCACCTTGGCTTTCTTTGGAGTTGGTGAGGAGGAGTTTTTTCCACTGCAGAGATTGTATCAAATTGATGAACCCAGCACTCATCCTTGGTTAAGAAACGTTCAATGAAATTAGACAGGATTGACTCAAATAGTGTCACTTTCTTCCCATGATGTGATTAACCTGTTGAGCTTTTGTTCAGGTGTCAAAAAATCGCGGGACACGCCGAGCAGAAATCTTTGTCATGCCAAAGTGTTATGGTCCAGGTTAGGACCAAGGAAGAACAACACGAACACAAGAGTAGAAATAACGAAGGTATATTACACGAAATAATAATACAAGATGTGGAAGGTGTTAGTATGACTGTTAGTCTGGTTTCAAGTGAACTACTATCGGATCGTCTCGATTCGACCCTCTCTCTTGAGAGGTGTAGTATACATAGTGTTAGGAAGAGTTCATTCTGTAGTTATAGGTAAGGATCCATGGCACAAAGTTATTATAGAATATTCTTATTTCCTTCCCAGCCGAGGCAAGTTTGATTTTAAGTCAATCACTTATTATCCATCACAATATTGTTTACATGATTAATGGTTTTCTCAGTTGTGTCAGTCGCAGGGTGTCCAAATCTTGGGTTATCTTTAAGAGTCTCCCTTCTCCTACTAAGTTTATTTTCCCACTCTTGCACTATTGATAAATCTGGTGCGTCCTCCACTAATGTAGCAACCATGACAATATAAAAGTTCATTTGAGCTAAACCCTTTTCCTGTAGATATGGAAACACCACGATGCTA